CACTTCAAAGGATATATTTTCAGGTATTGGTTTTGTAGGGATTTTGCTTGATTGCATGGAGGATTTCATCATGAGCTGACATCATTTAGAGAACCACTGGAAAACCTGAAAGTACTGGACAGCTGTTTCGTCCATTCAGGCAGTTAACCTGGGATTCTAGTGGGAATCCGTGACCAGTAGGGTACAGCAGGTTGAAGATGAGGTAGTAACTCATCGAAGAAAACATTGAGAAATGGTCGCGCTATGTCGTGAATTGGCAGAAGTTAGAATTCAAGGACCATTAGATCGGGTCCCAGTGGCTCAATGGTCTACGAGCTCACCTCGTAATCAGAAGGTCCTGGGTTCGGACCTCAGTGGATGCGTACTACTGAAGAGCCCCAGACTAGAACAAAGCAGCTGTTTAGGACTGCAGCACTTATTTCCCAACGGTCCTCTAACCAGTGTCAGTTCACGATGCAATCCTGATTATTAAACTACTTGACGAATCTATACGGAGAATCAATACTTTGTAGTAGAACATTAAGGAAAAGCTCTGTAACATGTATTAATGCATTTTCCAGAATAAAGCAGTTGATATTATTATTTAAAACGTTGACGTTTTTCATCATGCATCAATCGACCAGATGTCTTCACAAAATTTAACTAAAATTGCTAAAAATGTGTATCTCGTGAATTGTAGTGACTGGCTACGGGATGAAGTTGACTGGAGTTCTACTGTGAAGATGTGGTCACAAAGGGGCCCACCAGGTCGAGAGTGAGGAAGACTTCTCACCAACTACACTGGCTGGTGTTTGCGCTAAAACCACGAATGGCTGAATGGTCTATGAGCTTCCACTGTAACTGTAAGGTCCTGAGTCTCAAGCTAACATGAAACAACTTTCCAGTACTCTCAGCTGGATTTCATTGGTTGTCTGACTGATATTAAACCATTGGAAAGCTTGAAACGAACCGAATCCCTATAAACTAACTCTTGAAAATAGTTATAGGATCGTCTTTATAGTAAGTTGAATTCAAGCAGTTTCAGTGTTTCTTTTTCCTTCACGTTCCCCAGTGGAACATTGGGCTTCAAGCTAGTGGCTTGAAGTTTATGTAGCGGTGACTATTTTACAGGATGGGGTTGCTAGCCTCATGCCTAACATTTCCTCTTTACCAGCTTTATTTCTGACTTAGCGGGGTAAAGTAGTGCGTCGGCCGGGGATCGAACCCCAGACCATATGCATCGTCGACGGGCGTCCTAACCGCTATGCCACCGACGCACCAATTTCAGTGTGACTGGACAGAATATGTGAATTGTCAAGCCTTAACCGAATAAGAAAAACCAAAAGAAAATGAACATTGTATTCATGTGAGGGACCCTATTTGCTTTGATTTTAGCACCGACCTACCTGAAACAGATTTTTCCTCATCTAGACTATGAGCCACACACTGATCCTTTGAGCGAGAATGCTGTTGACACTACCCATTTACGGAGACTGAAGTAGGGACTCGAACCAAGCGCTAACTGGTTATATTCGTCATGAAACTGTAGCCAATGAAATCTATTAATTCTGATGTGAAGACTATTACTTTTCTTGATCGGATTGGGTTTGCAATGCAAGAAATACTGTCAGTTGGCCATAGCTGAATTATATCCCGACATATTAGTTCAGGTGTATCATAGTCACCTAAGGAACTAGATGATCACAGATCCGATTTCTGGATGGATGGATAATGGGTGAATAGTTGGCGCTTTACTCTAAGGCTCCTTCATTTTGAATTAAAATTTCTATCAAAAGATTTCTTACAATAGTTATTTAAAAATATACAATCACGTCTCAGGTGATGACGTTAATTGCCTCTAGCTATTTTAATTTCACTTGGTTTAATTGTCTGTCGGTCTATCAATGACGTATAGAACTCTACCTACACCTGCTAATGATTCAAGCATGTGCATACGTTGGGCTTAAAAAAGTAAGTCAAATATGCGAAATTCTAAAATCTTTTTATCAGGACTTCAAAAGTTTATTTTATCTTCAGAATTGTCAACGTGTGTCGAGGTTAGATGGTGGGAGTCAATCAGTTGGAAAACTTGAACCTATATTTCATGCTTTTTGACACTCACCAGTCATCAAGGTGTACCTAAAACCCTGGAGGAAGTCATATCCCCTCTTGGATTCGAACGAGAGTCACTTATTACTGTAGTCAGAGACGTTTCCACTAGCTTTGTGGGAGTCACGATCGACCTGTAACAGTATGCCAAAAAGTAAATGTGATATAAAATGGAGTACAATAAATAGGTGAAGGTTGGCAATAACGATAACTTTTCACTGTTGAAGAGACATAACATTCACTCTATTATGTAATACACTTGATCTTGGTCCTCACCAACTCCTAGTTTAAGCGGAGTGTTTACTGCTCAGCATATCGTTCAACCCTTTCTCAAGGTTGCGTGATATGGCCATTGAAATCGAAAGGTATGGAAAAGATAGCAGTCCTTGACCATATATTTTTGCACCCTATCTTTCATATTATTTGGTATTATATGATGAGTTATAGTGTAGTAAGGTCGTGAGCGCTAAGTAAGGAGAGTAAGTCAATCGCTGACTTTGTAAAGCTAAATGGATCGAGATGACTCGGACACGTTTTCAGTAGTCCTCTAATTAATGTTACTTCATGATCAATATTATTATATTATTGTTCCCTTGGGTTCCTAGTGGAACATAGGGCTTCAACTGCACGCCTCCACTTGCTTCTGTCTTCTGCTGTACGTCTCACCTGCATCCATGTTAGTCCATGCTGTTTCAACTCCTCTTCACACGATCTCCTCCATGTCACCCTTCGACGTCTCACTCACCGTTTCCCTTTCGGGTTCCACTCGAGCACTGGCCTGACGCGCGATGTCACCCAACAGCCTCCTCAGCGAGTGTCCAATCCATCTATACTTTCTCCTGCATATTTGTTGGGCGATTGTTTTGTTCTTGTTTTGTTTGTTCCCATAGATTCTTGTTTGTGATTCTTTCTGGCCATCTGATTGATCTTCAGTATAGAACGAAGACGTTTGTTGTTGATAAAGGTCTGCAACAGGCTGTGGGAAATATTCTTGGTGACCCACCAAGTTTCTGATCCGTATACAAGAACTGACTGACTTGACGTTTGTATTGAAAATCCGAATTTCTTTGTTGATGCAGGCTGAGTGACAGTGGAAGATTTCCAGATTGGTTTTAGGTTGATGAATGTGTTTCTCGCCTTCCCGCTTCTCGATTTGACATCCTCGTCCGTTCCTCCTGTGGTTGAGACAATGCTCCCTATATAAGTGAAGTGAATGAAGTAACCTCCTTCAAATCCCTCCCGTTGATGGTGATTGGCACTGGATGTTGTTGCTGTTGTTGTTTGGTTATTTTCATAACCTCCGTCTTGTCTGTGTTCACCTGGAGTCCTGTCTTCGCTGCTTCTTCGACCAGTTAGTCGGTTTTCGCTTGAAAGTCTTCGATTTTGTGTGACATCAGACATAAATCATCCGCGAAATCCAGGTCTTCTAGGTCCTTCACGTCGGTCCAGGATATCCTTGTCTTCTCGGTTCCCACTGTCTGACGCATAATCCAGTCCACCACAATTAGGAATATCATTGGTGATAATAAGCACCCTTGTCTGACTCCTGTGTTTACTCCAAACGCCTCGGTGAGTTTTCCGTTGTGGATCACTTGACATGATCAAACTTGGAATTAATCAAATTCCTGCAAACCAACACTTGAAGATATCGATTTCCATCTATTTCCATCATTGTAGTCATTTTGTGAATCCTGCTGATTAATTTTATTCGACCGAAACGATCGTCTTTTGTTGACATATCAGTAGATGACATAAACGCTCCGACAATCTGTGGAATTTTTTCGATACCTTTTGCAGAAGATGTCGTTCTCTTGGCGCAAGTGGCTTATTGAGTAACACTTTGGCTTTTGAGATGATGATGAGTGTTAAATTTCAGTTTCACTGGGAATGTCATCACATATTGGGGATGCCCTTACATATGACTGACAAGTCTCAGAGGGGATGAAGTATGCTTCCTGAACTCAGTCTCCTGGCACGTACCATCAACCAAACAATGTCTCCACTTTTGCTTTCTCCTTCAGAAACCCTTGTGAAATATGTGTTTAGTTGATATAATTTACTATGTTGTACCTTCTATTCGTTCACCTTCTTGCCTCTTGTTCACCGAATAATAGATGTGTGCATCATAATTAAATCAAGTGTAAACACACTGAAGGATAGAAATTTCATTTACCAATATTTATACTTGTTGTAGACACCAATCATTGCCATGGGCGGGGGGGGGAAGAAATCTATGGGATGTCACACTTTTAACTTATCTAGGAGGGAGAGTTTCAACTAAAGGTGGTGACACAGACGAGGGTATCAAAGACATTCAGGAGTGGAAAGTCAAATCAGATCTCCATTAATATAATATCACTGCGAAAATCTGTTGCACTCAATATGAAGAACAAGATTCGGTTCTTCGACACCACTCTCAAGTCAGTGATACTGTTTGGTTCAGAGACTTGAAGCTCACATCACGAAAAGCATTTCCAAAAGGTCATTTCAGACTGTCATCAACGGTTGTCTATGCTCCATACTGAAGACCAGATAGCCAGCTGGAAGGCGTCAGCAACAAGGAATTCCGAGAACGACCGGACCAAGAGTCTGTTGCCCTACAAATATGCAGAAGGGAAGGAAGATGGGTTGGAAATATGCTGAGGAGACCATTGACTGACGTCACGCGTCAGGCATACCCTCGAGTGGAGCCCAAATGGGAACTGTGAGTTGAACATGAGTCAGTAGACGACATAGGGGAGATCGTGTGAGAAGGCGATAAAAGATTGTGAGCTACGATGGAACCAGAACAGAATCAAACAGAGGTGCGCTTCTGAAGTCTTATTTTGCGCTCCGGACCTACGGAGATAGTAACAACAATAATAATAATCATAATGGTACTTGTTTTCATGACGATAACTATTAAAACTTACATATTTAGATGACATTTTTAATTCAATAATAGAAATTGCTCCACGAATTGATTTTTGAATAATATCCATTTCTTTTCTATCCCATAGACCAGCAATTAATTGTGTCTCTTCATAACGTTGTTCACTGCATGTTCGTTTTGACGTTTTATTTGAACTTAACGAACTACACTCAGCACGTGTACGACGTGATCGAAAATCAGCTGGTTTTCTTACTGGAGAATGACACCGACTATGTAATATATCAGATATGAGTAGATTGTCTAACCATGCATCAGCTATATACAATTCTTTTAGATAGTCTGGTATCCGATAGAACTTTTGGAAGAAAAAAGAAAGAAAAAAAAGGGAATTTGAGATCAACATATTGTTAAAAAGAGGTGAAAATGTCATGAAATCATTATTGATAAGTAAACTAATATAGGGTTTTTTTTATTTCCCAATGAATGCTATGGATTCACCAGTTTCCCCAATAGTTGCTGACATTTTTGATGAAGAGATTCGAAGATAACATCTTTTCAAGCATACTCACTCCTAAAATATGGTTAAGATATGCTGATGATACGCTTGTAGTGCTAAAATGAGATATACACAGTTCATTCCTGGAGAAAATAAACAATCTATCTCCCAGAATCCAGTTTACTTCGAAAGTAGAACCAGACGTCGGTCAACTACCATTTCTAGTCTGCCTGGCTAGTTAACAGGAGGGCAAACGGACGTTTTAGTAGATATATATATATTCAGGAAGAAAACCCACTCCAGTAAATATTTAGATTTCGGATCATCCATCACACTCCACCAACGCTAAGGTATAAGTTGTTTCAGGTCTTCTTAGACGAGCACACTTTTTGATAACAGATGATACAAAAAAAGAAAAAGAAATACCAAACATTACTCAGTCTCGCATGAAAATTAACTACCCATTGAACTTCATTGACAAAATCAACACCAACTATATTGAATATGGTCGAAAACGTATTCCGCAAAAACACGCACCTCAGCAGGTGTTATTCCATATAGATCAGAGACGTCAGGCAATATCAGAAGAGTACTCAATCAGCACAACATCAGAGTTTTCTTAAAACATCAGACAAACTACGAAACAACCTTGTCCATATAAAAGACCGAATTCCTAAAGATTCTCTATCTAATTGTGCCCCTAAAATAAAATGCTTGGAATGTGATGCGATATACGTCGGACAAACATCACAGGAAATCAAAATCAGAAGAAGTGAACACCGTAGAGCCTCATCTGTTCGACCACCGAGAAATCCAGTTGAACTAGAAAAGCTTGAAAAATTGTCAGCCATAGCTAGTCTACATGCTACGCTATGGAATCAGGCCACAAAATTGATTTTGACAATATTGAAATCATCATCCAGAAAAATTTCAGAAATCACAAAGAACGTCTAATGTCATCAGAAGCACTTCATATCAAGGGGAATCCAAGTTGTTTGAGTGGGAATGATGGACTAAAACACAATTTGACCTGGTTACAACACCTCTGTTTCCTCGGTGAAATGACAAAATCAACGCGAATGTGATAGGTGATTTCACTATGTAAACACACACTGTTTTTCTAATAATAATATCAAATACAACAATCTACACCTGGTTTTGTTATCTTTACTAGTTAGCTAAGTGGACAACGGAAAAATGACCCCATACTGATGAACGATAATTAAGTTGTTATATAAAAAAGCTGAGTGGATTTTGTAAATTCTGGTTAAATAATACTACTTTGATAAATCTATTTAGTAGCATTAAATAGTGAAACGTCAGTACACAAAACAATAATATCGTTTTGCTTTCCATTCATTGGGAAATACAAAAACAACCTTTATTATATTAAGAATATCATCTACCCAATGCCCGAATTTTTATATCAAACTGTTAAAAGTGAACTTGGTTAGGACACAAATAACATAAGCAGACTAAATTCTATGGCTCATCAGACCAATTCTGATAATGATTATATATTGGTGTTTATCATTGATCTAAGTAATTATGTTTCCTCTGAGAGTATTCAATCTTAATGATATTAGATAGTTGGAGTAAATCAGCAGGAAGCCTTGCTTGACCTAAATTTCGTGCTAGTTGGCACTCACCAGTCAGCAAGGCGTATCTGCAGCCTTGAAGGAACTCATGTCCCTTGTGAGATTCGAACCCGCGTCACTCAGTATATTTACTCTTAGTACAATGTATCTTGTGTATATTTGGAAGCTTCGGTTTGAAAGTACACACACAAGCACACTTTGAATGACACTACGTACTAGCCGGTCAGACATAAGTGATCCGAATTGGGAGTGGTTGTTTCTCTCGTTTGGTGTGAAACTTATAAGCTATGTAGCCTATTTGAATCAGCTCAGACAGCCGATTTCTGAGTGGTATTCAATCACTTATCTCAATCAATAAGTGGTGTAGTGTCAAGCACTTGGCTTGCATTCTTGATCTTGCTAGTTGCGGTGTCAAGCAAATCACATATTGTTGTGATCTAAATAATTTGAGTTTCCGGAAGAAACTATGGCAGTGAGAACAAAATATCGTCGTTTATTTCGTTGGCTTCTCATCAGCTGCTAGAAGACCGAAAGAATTATTAAGTATCTCTAAAGAAACAATTTTAACACACTTGCATTGAGTTCATTTTTAAACAAAAATCAATCAATATATGCACACAATAATATACATAATAATAATAAACACTTTATCCCAAACAATAATAATCATACACAATGGAAACTTTCGGCGTTATGTAATCAGATGAAAGAGAGGATGAAAATATCCAGTTACCAGACAGGGCGAGGAAAGACTGATAACCACTTCTTTCTAAGCACACACATAAATCGGGTTTTAGGTGCTTGGTGGAGATCGCTTCGACAAACTTGAGTAGAATCGAACTCTTTTGCCTATTGATAATTTTGAACGATCTTGCGACGTCCACCACATGACCTGTGTCAAGGAGATGCCTGCCGATGGCAATGTTTAAAGCATTTGTTCCCTTCAGGCATAGGCGTTTTGGCACATGTTCAGAAAATCGGAGGTAAGCCCTTCTTTTTGTTCTTCCAATGTAACTGCTCCCACAGATACGCGTAAATTTGTATATACAGTTGGAGTTAACATGAGAAGGATATCTATCGACTTTTGATTGCACCAAATAGCAAGTTGTTCGATAGATGGAAACCACCTTAGCTGTACATACAAATATTGAATTTACTATGGAACATGAAAATAATGGAAAGTTCCATTTCTTTGATATTGCCATGCAACTCTCCAAAGGTCAATTTACCGAAAGCAAACATAGAAAGGACAATACCTAAATTTTAATCGTTTTTGTACAGATAGCTTTAAACGAGCCCTAAATAGTCAAGATTCTATACTGTAGTGCTGGGAGAATATGCTCTACAGAGAAATTAGAGGGAGAATTCTTGTTTCTTAAAAAGATGTTGAAAAGCAACAGTTAAAGGTTCATTTAAAAGTGAGGGATTTCTGAAGGCTCAAATTACAGTGTGGAAAAAGCCCATCTTCAATCAACTGGATTTTTAAGGCGGAAATATTACAGCAATTGTCAATCGAAGATGGAGGACGTTACTAACCAGAGCCTATCCTGCAGCTAAGCTGGTTCCAATCTATCAAGAAACTTGCTATTTGGTGCAATCAAAAGTTGACAGATATCCTTCCCATGTTAACTTCAACTGTGTATACAAATTTACATGTATCTGCGGGGGCAGTTACATTAGAAGAACAGAAGATCGTGTCAGGAGGAGATGAGAGAATGTGAAAACCGCAGAGAAGTGGGCAAAGTGGTGATACAGTGTTGAAGCCCTTTGTTCCCCTATCGAAACCCAAGGGAAGAATAATAAAAATAAATAATAATAAAATTTGAGATCCACTGAATTTCAACCCAGTGGATGAATCGACGGTCAAACAGCTAACCTATCAACCTGTAATTACTGGGTTCGCCCCTATGATAGGCCTGTATCTTCGCATTCCTAACATTTAATTGTTTTATACCTACCATCGTGCGTCGGTGGCATAGTGGTTAGGACGCTAGCCGACCATGCACATGGTCCGGGGTTCCATCCCCGGCCACTGGACGCACTCCTTTACCTCGCTAAGCCAGAAATAATGCTGGTGAAGAGGAAATGTTAGACATGAGGCTAGCAACCCCATCCTGTAAAATAAGCACTGCTACATAAACTTCAATCCTCTAGCTTGAAGCCCTATGTTCCACTGGAGAACGTGAAGGAAAAAACAATATCTAACATCGGCTCACATGACTGAAATCCCACAATCCAACACTTTAAAATTTAACTAAAATCAATTCCAGTTAAAGTCTCATGTGTCGTGAGGGCGATTTATTTACACTAAAAGCATATTACACAACTCAAATATGAAGATACAACAGGCAATCAGACTAGAAAGCGCGCGCGCGCGGGCGAGAGAGAGAGACGAGATGGCCATAACAACAGGTATGCTAGTAACAATGACCTTGAAAATCACTTCAGACCTTTTTTTGATTGGATTAGTTAGCCTCGTGACCTTCACATCACATATCAATAAATCAGATCTTAATTATTCTTTCAATAGAATATAAAATTCTTGAATTCATTAAAATAAAATAAAATAAAAAAATACCAACACAATTAAAATACTAGAAATATGAGTTAAAATTAACATGAATTTTTTATAGCCGTTTCTTCTTCTTTCTTTTTTTTTTTAAAAAACCACAACAGTATTGAATAAATTTTGAGATATATACATAGACATATATCGATGACTTTCACATTTATGTTAATTATTCTCAAAAAAATGGTATGGCGTACACGACAAGTAGTTATATTTTGAATGAAATACCAACCATTGAAAATGATGAGTAAATATTTTTTAATATTGTGAAAGTTCAGACAAGTGAGTTTGTTACTGGCCAAAATAAATTGTTTTGTTTTGTATTGTTTTCTACGCTTGAATAACAACTATGAATGGTGAAATAAATATGCCGACCAGTCACTGAAGGCTAACTCATGTCAGACTTGTTCAAAACTTTCCGAAGACTGTCTTCAAAAATGGTGGATCAAGCTTTGAAAGTGGCAAGTTAACTGGCAGACTGGTACGTCACAGAAGTTCCCACTTTTTGACATAAATTATTAGATTTACATCATGAACCAATATCACTGAGACTAAGGGAGCAATGGACAGTAGTTTCGTCCTAGTTTGAAACTCCTCATCAGCCCTCATCCACTAACCATCCGGGGATCGAACCCGGGACATTCTGACCATGAGATCAGGTTCATTGACCAGTCATTCAATGACCTCTGAAC